CGTCAACGACAGACACACAGGTTAGTGTCATACGCCCTCAACCAGCCGATTTTCTCGACTCTGTACAGTGGAACTGGTCGCCGTGAATCGCACACACATTGAAACCTAAGGCGAGCGTTCACTCACACTGAACCTCGGTATTCGCCGCAGTTTACCCTGGGTATTTATCATCGCCGACCTTCTACAGTCCCTTATCCGCTTCGACGTCCTCCAACACTTCAACCTCATGATTGATCCGGTCGGGCATAAGCTCATTGATCGTCTCATTGCACAAGAGACCCACGGGACGCCTACGACCGTTCTGTCAATTAGCCCACTCCTTTTAGCTTTTGACACCGCCGATAGGTTCCGAGTGGTTCTCTCCGAGTTCTCAGAGTTATGCAAGCACACGCTACCTCAGGCGACGCAGACACCGCCCACCACATAGTCACTCGTGGTCCTCCTGCCCACTGCTGCTCCCAGACGTCTCACCCCTGACAAGCTAAAAATATCCCGTGCTAAATTGCAGTACATTCTGGATCTCGGGATTATCCGGCCGTCCTCCAGCTCTTGGGCTTTCCTGTTGCACACGGTTCTCAAGAAGTCTCCTGGCGACTGTGTGGCGACTGCCGCCCACTGAAAAATCTTAGCACGCCAGATCCCTACCCCATCCCCCACACCCGGGATCTCACTGATAGTTTAGGGAGAAGTAAATCATTTAGTTAAATGGACTTAGTTCGCGCATATCCTTAAATTCTGGTGACCTCGAGGGCGTCCCCAAGACCGCGGTGACAACACCGTTTGTCTCTGAGTTTCTTCGTATGCCCTTCAATCTTCGCAACGCAGCTCAAACGTTCCAACGCTTGATAGATCAGAGTTGTCAAGGTTTAGATAACACCTTCGCATACTTAGACGAAGTCCTCCTAACCAGCGCCACTTCGGAGGGGCACCAGCAGCATCTACGCGCTCTTTTAACGCGTCTTTGCCAACATGGCGTTAGATTAAACGCTACCAAGTGCTCTTTCGGCGAACCTAGCTTCACCTTCTTAGGTTATCGCATCTCCGAATCTGGCGTCACACCTCTGCAGGATAAGGTCTTAGCCATTTCAGAGTATCCGGAACCTGCGTCACTAAAGTAGTTTAGACGGTTCCATGGGTTAGCTAACTTCTATCGGCTTTTCATTCCTAATTGTGTCGCCCTTATGCAACCTCTGCAGGATCTCTAACGTGACAATCCTCAACAGCTCATGTTCACTGACGACTCGCTCAAGACGTTTAACAGCCTGAAAGATGACATCTCCAACATGGTCTCCGTTTCGCATTACGTTCCCGGCGCCCCACTGTCTCTAACGACAGATGCGTCTGACGTAGCGGTAGGTACAGTAGCGGATCAACGACGCCTGGCAAACACTCGCTTTCTCTTTTAAGCGGTTGCAACCGTCCGAATCACGATATAGCGCTTTCGGCCACGAGCTACTCACCATATACCTCACAATACGGCACTTTCCACACATGCTCGAAAGCTGTTCTTTCGTCGTCATTACTGACCACAAGCCACTCATATACGCCTTCCGCTCAAACTCCGACCGGTACTCTCCCAGAGAGTCTCTTCACCTGAACTATATCACTGAGTTCAATGAGGATCTACGACGTCTCAGATGCGCACAACCCTGTCGCCGATGTGTTGTCATTCATCAATCTCGTCCTCCCTCCCGACAACATCGACCTGTCGTAACTCGCCGAGGCACAGAAGTCCGACCCTGAGCTACGGAATCTTGACAGCAACAGCTCACTCAAAATCCAGCTCGTTTCTCTTACAAATTTAGAGTGCTAAGTTGGGTGTGATTGTTCTACCGGCACGCCACAACCGTTAGTGCCACACTCTCATTGGCAGGAGGTCTTCAATAACTTGCATAATTTATCTCATTCAGGCATTCGCACCTCGGTGAAGTTAGTTTCCCAACGTTTTGTCTGGCCCAAGATGAATCGTGACGTAGCATATTGGGCCCGCAAATGTTTAGAGTATCAAAGAAATAAGGTACATCAACACTCTGTACCCAACTAAAGGTTTTCGACTCTCCGACTGCACGTTTCCGAAACATGCACGTTGATTTGGTTGCCCTTCTGCCACCGTCTGGAGGTTTCACATACCTCTTGACGTACGTCGACCGTTTTTTGCGCTGGTCGAAGGCCATTCCCCTTCCAAACTGCACTGTCGAATCCGCTGCTAAGGCCCTTTTAGAGCGTTGGGTCGCCACTAACGGATGGCCAGTCACCTTGACTACCGATAAGGGATCTCATTTCGAAGAGGCGTTCAAAGGCTCTACTCAATATACTGGGTTGCATTCACGCCTGGACCGCACACGAGTCGGTCAAACGGTTCCATCGTGAGCTCAAGACAGCCCTCAAAGCGCACTCCGATTCTGCTTGGCATGAGGTTGTCCTGCTCGTTCTTTTGAGCATCCGGAACATAATAAAGGCCGACTTGCACACCACACCAGCAGCCTTAGCTTTCGGCTGCACCCTGCACCTTCCCGGGGAACTCGTCGCGCCGACACAGCTGCACACCTTCAACTATGCCGACGTCACTCAACGCCTTAGCCATCACATGCGTGAGGTCCACGCCGCAACCACGCGACAGCAGAACGTCACCGTTTTTGTACCCAAGTAACTGTCATTTTGCACGCATATTTTTCTTCGCGTTGATAGCTCGCGAGCATCATTGCAAGCTCCGTACACCGGCTCTCATTAAATGATAACCCGTAAGGATAAGTGCGCTATTATCGAGGTTTAAGGTTAACCTAAACCGACTAAAAACAGCGTTCATCGACAACGACAAACGCGTGATTCCCTCGCCCAACCCAGCAATCCAGGGCTACGTCCCCCATCTCCCGCTACGGGTCAATCTCCCTAGACCCCGAGCGATCCCCTTGTGCCACCATCTATACTGGTCTAATGCGACCGTCGTACTGACATAACTTTATATAACCCTATTTTCCAACTGCAAATCTACCAGCACATACATACAAAAACGAACTTTCGAAAACTTTATCCATTCAGCCATTGTCTCTGTCCACCTCCACACGATGAACATTTGACATTCTTTACCGTGTCTGATACTCGCAGTTTTCATTTCTCGTCCCGGATTGAACTCATTCCTCAATAATACACTTCATTAGCATGTGTACACATTCTCATTTACTCCAATCCCGCCTCTGTAATTTTTCATCTCCATACTTTCTTACCTACAAAACTACAAAATCGTCAGATATATGTTTCTTTGCTTACCTTCTCTTTCATCTATTCCCGAATGAACCAAATGTCCATTGACCGTTTTGTGGCTCATTTTGTTTGTTAGGTTAGGTCAGGTCAGGTTGCTCAGGAGTGGTAGTAGCCACGGCCAATCGGGCGTCCAGAATTCCTTCGGTGGTGTGTTCACGAATGTGCATCCAACTCTTCAATTAATCGGTTTCTCCATCTATCTGCAAACAGAGAGAAAGTGAAGCTTTACTTTTCGTCGTATCAGCCAGAGACTTTCATTGTGAAAGCGTTTCATATTGCACACAAAAATGTAATGAACCTAAAATTCGCATCTTTTTCAGTACTCTTCGTTTTGGAACAGTTCTAACCACCTCTTATTCAAAGGAAACATAATGGCGTTCCGCTGTTGTTTAACCCCACTAACTCTGTCGATTCAAATGTTCTACAAAATAATCGTGCACCCCAGCATGTCTCACGACTTTCGTCGTGTAGCGATTGTTATTTTTGTTGTTAGTGATTGAGTTTAGCTCCTTTTAAGATTCCACAACGGGACACTCTTCGAAAGCTGAGAAAAGTTAGTTTTATTTCGTATTCGTCGATACTCTTGGGCTCAAAGTTTCAGAATAGTATTTAAAATAGTTTGCGACAGTTATATGGTAGGTGCAATTCCTAATGATGGATGGAATTAATTCATATATATATCACGGGAGAAGACTCGTAAAGAATCAGGAAACCTAACGCACGATTTTGCAAAGTTATAGACATCCACGAATGTTTGGTTGTCTCTAAGCAATAACAGCTTGCTAAGGGTCAAAGCGTCCAAGTCTTTGGCAACGTCGGACAGTGGCACTAACAGGCGGTCATTCAAGATTCATTCTACTTCAGCGACAAAAGTCAATAGCGTTTCATCGGTAACGCTTAGACCACGGTTGATGGCGTGCAAGATTCTTCTTACGGACCTTATCATCCTTTACCAGATGCCTCCCCAATGACTGGCCTCTGGAGGACCAAACCGCCAATCGGTCTCTTGGTGGTGATTAAGCCTACGTGATGACGCCTGCCCTGGAGCGACGCGTTACAGTTTCTGGACATCTGCGATCAACCAAATTTGAAAGGTGACGTCAATGACTCGCGTAGGGCTTCCGAATACACGCCATAGGCAGATTGTACCAGCCAATCCGAGACAGTGCAGACAGAAGCAGAATTATGCAAGCAGTATTGCAATACAATTGGTGGAAGTCTAGATAACCAATGATTATCTTTTGTACATATTATTTAATCGCCTTCATTCCTTTTACTAAACGAACTACGAGCTACTATTCTTGTGGCCTTTTCCTCACGTCTCGTTCGCCTGGGATATTGTGAGCTCGTGTCCTGTGATTTCTATTGCATGGTTCGTGTTCCGAACTCCGTGGGTACCACTACTACTACTATTACTACTACGATCATTTCAAAGTGACATAGCTTGATGGAGCTCCCAACGATTGAGCATCTGATCCTGCAGGCCAACTCTCAACCGCATTTGTGTTTGGTCCCTACTAAGGATGTGTAGGTATTTCATGAACCTCAAAACCCAGGCCACCACGACGAGAACCTCTCGAAATAACGCCTATATGCAACGCTAACAACTGATGCAATCACTCTTTCCTTCCTTATTTCTAAGAATTCGTTTGAGGGATCGAGGCATGCACCCCTTCACTGTCAGTCATGCCCAGTTGACTGAGAAACTGTAGCCCCTGAAACCATAGTATTTGGTTTTTTCTTTAAACGTTATACCTCGTGAGGCCAAGTCCGCAGTGTTATCCTTCCCTGGCACGTGTCGCCAATGTTCTGCGGTGGAAACGTCTTTGATCTTAGCTATGCAGTTAGCGACGGAGATCGAAAATCGGCTTTTAGCATTTCTAATATAATATTAGATGGGTGAAGAGCTTAATCCCATACCACACTTCTCTTAGTGATATTACTATTTCTTTTCGTATCGTTCTAAATAACTGAGTAGCCAACACCGTAGCTGATAACTCGAGACGCGAAAGTACGCCACAGTCCCAAAGACCTTTTTGATTCGTCACTGAACACGTGGAGCTCTACTTCGGGATCTTTCACTGCAGTTCCATGAAAATGCCATCTGAACAACTTAATGCCACTCAGCCTTTCTAAAATGGCACAACAATACCGCCATCTGTGCCTTTCCCTCTCTATCAATTCAGCCCAACCCACTCCTTTTCTACACTGATTTTGAAACCATAACTTTAACTGTAATATGTATCGGTCAATCCACCCCAGTGGGTCATAGATGGCTGACAAACGTGACAACAACAACCTTCGCGTGACCTGGTGCTTCTTCCTTCCAAACTGGTAGATAAACGATTCACCTTTAATGTAAAAAGCCAGACCGAGGGCTTTTCCGCAGGAAGTGTACTCTCAAGCAATTCCTTAACGGAGACATTTCTTTCATCAGAAGGAATCTGAATTAAAACTTCTCGTTGGTTATTAGCCCATTTAGTCAGTTTGAAGCCGGCACGACCTAACAGTTGTGTCAGGCCACGGATTATAATAATAATAATGATATATTTCTCGGTTTACAACGAGAGACATGCGAATGATGCATGATCAAAGGAGGCATGATAAATTTACAATGCCACCACATAAAGCACAACCAAATGTTCAAACAAAGGTAGACTGATTGTGGAAATGAGTTATCGTGCAAAAATGTTCAATGGAATGTAATGTTGTTATAATGTTCCATTTGATGCTGTAGCGCAACACAGTTTCAACTTCAAGGTCATCGTATAAATCGGAATGATAAAATTTTCCTGAATGAGAACGAGCGTTAAAGTGTCAAAAGATAGATATTATGTGTAATTACAAGAGATTCGAACATAAAACAGTAGAAATAGAATCTAGAATGGTAGTATTGTTCCTATATCCAAAGGTACAAAAAGGCCTTATGCGAGTAGAAAAATTGCTGTTTTCAGTTGAGGGTAGAAATTTCATCACTTAGACTGAAGAATTATAATGTAATGTAATACAGGTACGGTGAACCGTTGGTTATATCTTGACCTCTTCTATCATAGTAGAATCTATCAACCAATTGTATAAATATAATTAATGAAATATTTCAATAATGAAATGCTAATTAGCATAAAACAATCAACAGACACGAGAGCTTATGTGCTTTATCGATGATATCTGGTATAATGAAATGCATCAAACGTTAGATCTTGAGGAATATGTCGAATTACATTATATCAAACAATCAAATTAAGAAGACAAAGAAACTATGGAGTTTTCGTTTAAGATGGCTGGAAATCTAGCCACCATCAATTTAAAACTGGGGGCAAGGAAAGAAAAGAAACTAGGACAGGTGCAAACTTTGAAGCCAATCACCCCACGTTTGGGTAAGCTCAGGCATATTAGCAACACTTTATCTAGGGAGGGCTAAAACGCCCGCTGGTATTGCGTACAGGGTTGAAATGGTGCTTTGCATTGTAGTCGTAATCAGGGGCAGCATAAATATATATATAGCTATATACCCTTGTGAACCATAAAAATGGTTCACTCCCTGGTTACAGCGCTGGTCAGCGAACAAGCGCTACCATTGGCACCTGCTACCCGTATGATTTAGGGTTGGTCTTACTTTACCAAACCCTAAGAGACGTCGCCTCCTAGCTTCCTCTGTTCGGGGTGTGTTGGCGTTCTTCAGTTCATCCTGTAAAGATAGGCTGTAAGTGTGCAAAAGCACTCGAATAAAATGAAAAAAGAGCTGCCCGTACGTGCTTTAATCTGATTATCGACAGACAACAGCAAGTCATTCGCATAAAAGCTTCTTTGAACTGCATCGGTTATCTAGGAAGAATAATCACGGTCGTATAAATCGGCTGCTTTTTCCAGAGCAAAACTCGCACAAAATGGTGAAGAGACTGCTCCGAATGGGTAAACCGACTTACAGCACTTCTCAACTCGTTGAGTTGGGTCACCCTCAGACCACCGTAGAAATTTAAATGCCGCCTGATCTGTTTTTGGAAATTTGACTTGCAAAAACATATCCTCAATATCCGAAGTAACTGCAATAGGCTTCTGACGAAGGCGAAGGAGAACCCCGACTAGATTAGAGACGACGTTCGGTCCTT